GATCATTCACTTTGTCCGACAAAGGGGCTGATCCTATCACTATGATCACCCATTCAGATGAAGTCTCGGACTGTCCCAACATACCTAGGTTTTGACCCCCTCTAAGGATCTCACTGATTGGCATATCAAAGACAGCCCAATCCGACACCTAGTGCAGTAACATAATCGAGTCTAGGGGTCAAGTGTAACATTCCAGTTTTGCCCATCTATCTCCAAGGTCCAAGGCAATATTGGAATTCTGATCCGGTTTAGGGTTTCAAGAAAACCCACACTGCATGTACCTTAGGTCTCACCTTGGCAGCTGAGACAAGCCACCCCAACCAACTTGGTGGCACATCAGTGTCATCCTTGGTAGAATAAATCTCCCCAGATCTATCCAACGGCTGTGAAGATTCTAAACTAACACGAGTCTCATTAAGTGTCCATTTTAAGAGTATTACACAGAAACACACCATAATAACATGAATCAAATATGTACTTTATTCATTTACATTAAATGTCATAATGTACATCATTCTGATTGGAGCTAAGGGCATACACTGTCTAACAGTTCCCACTTGCACTTAGGTCCAATCCGGTATAAGCCAGAGTCCCATGCTTACAATGTGTTTCTCAAACACTTTCTGTGTTAGTGGCTTTGTCAATGGGTCTGCTACATTTTCCGATGATGCTACCTTCTGAATTAGGACGTCCCCTCTTCCAACTATCTCCCGAAATACATGGTATTTCCTCTCGATGTGCTTCAACTTCGAGTGGGCTCATGACTCCTTAGCTAGAGGAATGGCTCCAGTGTTGTCACACAACAATGGAATAGGTGATGTGCTGGATGGAACTACTCCTAATTCGTGAATGAACTTCTTCATCCATACGACTTCTTTGGCAGCTTCACTTGTGGCAATGTATTCGGCTCCGGTTGTGGAATCCGTCGTGGACCCCTGTTTGCCACTTTTCCAGCAAACGGCACACGGTCCTATCGTGAAGATATAACTAGATGTAGACTTTCTATCATCGGGATCTGACTGGAAGTCGGCATCAGTATACCCCTGGATCTGTAGTGAACTAGCATCGAATACCAGACAAAACTCTTTTGTCCTTCGAAGGTATTTTAGTATGTTTTTCATAGCAATCCAATGCTCCTGCCCTGGGTTTGATTGGAATTTGCTTACCACACTCACTGCCTGAGAGATGTCAGGCCGAGTGCACAACATGGCATACATGATGCTCCCTACGGCTAAGGCATAGGGAACGACTTTCATGCCCTCAATCTCTTCGAGAGTCATGGGAGACATACCCTTGGAGAGAGTGACTCCATGCCTGAAAGGAACATTTCCTTTCTTGGAGTTCTCCAAGATGTATCTCTTGAATATTTTGCCAATGTAAGTAGATTGGGATAATCCTATTATCCTCTATGATCTATCTCTATAGAGTCGAAGACCCAGTATGTAGGAGGTTTCTCCAAGATCTTTCATGGAGAATTGCTGTGAAATCCAC